GCTCAGGAAAAACCCGGGATAGCCATGATGGGCGGGTAATATGTCTAGTGTACCGACCTACATCATCGTGTTCGAAGCGTAGACCGGTGATTAAGCAAAACTCCTCCCGCCCAAAACACGTATATGCCGGTGAAAAATCAAACCATATCTCTTCGTCACGACGTTGTATAGTATATGGTAGATCGCTAGTCATGGTTTGAAGAAACAGGTGTGTCAACATCGCATCTCCACCGGGATGTTGTACTTTAAGCCATGGCCCGAAGCAAGTATCCTCAAACATTTTTCTTTGTGCAGGTGAAAGCTTCGACGCAATTGTTTTGGCCAGGCTTACTTTATTTCTTAAGGTCAATTGAGCCGAATAAAAGTTCTACAAAAACAATAAACATACTAAGTTAGATATACCAAAAACTACACTGTGAAGATATACCAAAAACAATAATAAACATAAAGAGTAGTAGTTTATTCTTCAAACTTAATTTGCAACACTGTGAATTTCGTATTTGTCTTTGTTTTTTGGTTGAAGTAATGCAATTCATTCAAGTTTCAATTTGCATAAGAAGAATAGTTTCTGAAAATGAAAATCGCAACACGAAAATGACTATCGCAACGCGAATTTGACTATCGCAACGCGAAACTAAAATCGCGTTGCGATTTTGTCGTTGCGATTTTCATTTCGCGTTGCGATTCTCGGTTGATTTAATAAGCAATCTAAGTGAAATGGTTAATCTATTATTGAAATTACCAGTAAACTTATCATCAATTTCAATATGAAAAACCTAATAATAATGCAAAAATTTCAAAATGAAAATAATTAAAAAAACTAACCCTCGGTGGTTGATTTGGTTGATTTTCCATTTCTGATTGTGAGGGTGGCTCTGAGAGATGGAGATAGATGGATTTCGCCGGAGATGGGGACGGATTTCGTCGGAGATGGGGACGGATGTCGCCGTAGAGAGTGAGAGATGGAGATGAGACTGAGTTGTGATTTTAGGTTTTAGGTTATGAGTTGCGATTACGGGATATACTGTAGACGGTTCAGTGTTCCAATATATTAATATTCGTGTTTGGAATTTGAAAATAAAATACGCGTTGCGATACTAATGGCGCTTTGAAAATGCATTGCGATTATGTATTATCTCGTTGCGAAAGTCAGTATCGCGTTGCGAAAGTAAGTATCGCGTTGCGAAAGTCAGTATCGCATTGCGATTTTGTATTATCGCGTTGCGATAGTCAGTATCGCATTGCGATTTTCCCAATTCGCGTTGCGATTTACTTATTCGCATTGCGAATTGGGAAAATCGCAACGCGAAATTGGAAAATCACATTGCGATAGTCATAATCGCGTTGCGAATCTGGAAACTGATTTAAGATAATGGAGATCGCGTTGCGAATTAGCGATCGCATTGCGATTTTCTTGGTCATTTTGGCAAATCCGGAAAAAGTTGGTTAAAATCGTAAATTACATGGGATTTTTGGTCACTGAGATTATTTTCTCTATTTTAATTCATTCTTACCTCTTTTATATTTGCTTTTCTCTCTCTTTCTTCTTTCTCCTGTCATTAGAGAGGGAGAAAACCTTTTATGCAAAGAGAAAAAAAAATCAAACATTTGATCGTTAATTTAAAATTATTGGAGATGGAATGAGAACGAAAGAGAAAGAAGGAGAAAGAGAGAAAAAAAACAAATATAAAAGAGATAAGAATTAGTAAAAAAAAGTTGGTCAATTTTCATCTAACATGGTGAAATAGTGGTAAACAAATTAGTTTAACATACCATATCTTCATTCTGTCACCCAGTTTAACAGCTATTAACGGTGAATGACTGTTTTATTATAAATTGATAATTTTAATAAATAATTTGTTACTTTCAAAACTTTTGTGAAGAAAACTTACTCAAACTTCAATTTTCTCTACCTGCACATTGTTCAAATACATGTATTGTATAACACCTACAACAATGTTTAATTCCACTGTCTTAGTCCAATTTACAGTTTAAATTCCATATTCTCTCAAGAATTTCACTTTACACATCAGAGAAACATTCAACTACTAAGCTAGAAAATATCAATTATAGTTGAACATATTCAGATGTAATAAACAGCTAAAAAATTATTTCTTTCTTTCCAAATGTTGCTACCAAAGCAAATAACTAAGCGGGGATGACTGAAAAGAGAGAAAACGGGTAAAAGGACATAAAACCTTCGAGAGAGCCAGAGTTTGAGGATGTTTTTGGAAATGGAGATGACTTCAGGGCCGATACCATCACCGGGAAAGAGAGTGATGTTGTAGCGTTGAGGGATTACGGCGGGCGCCTGATCCTGGTCGGTCTAGAAGATTGTTTGTCAATTGGTTTAAGATTAAAAAGAGCAAGGGAGCAGACATTTAGGAGAGGATAAGCAGACATTTTAGGACGAGAAATGAAAGTGAAAATAAGGGTAACATTAGGGAAATGTTGACGTTAAAAATCTGACAAAAAAGTAAAGTGATGAAGTGAAAATTTTACTAAAGGGAATGGACTAAAATAAGTATTAAACCTTGACTAATAATATAACTCTTGTGTCAAATTATTATGATAAAGGCAAACCTAGGGCAGAAACAAGTTGGCGTATTTTAATGGATTATAGTTTCTTAATTTATTAATTATTCATTCATTAGGAATAAAATTTCTATGGGTTCCATTCTTTATAAATTTAACCTTCAAAATTATTCTTTCATACTTTAGTTATGTTATCGGGTCATTAAATTTTAACGACACGATGATGTTGAAAAAACTTTCCTTCAACGTGATGATGTGGAAAAAATGACATAATTTTAACATGACTATCGATGTCAGAAATGACGTCGTTCTAGGCACTAAATTTTATGGGTGGATTAATTTTACCACTAAATTTTAAAAAGATTATGTTTTTGGCACTAAATTTTTCAGATCGACGTTGATAGCCAATAGTCGCCTGTCAACGATCGTCTTTTTGTTGCAAGATAAATATCAAAACATTCGCATTTCAGTCATCTTTCTTCTCATAATATTGGTTTTTCATTAAATCCACTCAAATACGATAAAAATCATTTAAAGGTTCCATGTGCTAATACTCTGATCTCCTTTGATGGTCATTTGATAAGACTAGTTTTGAGTTATGTTGTTCATCTTCTCAAAATAATACTTCTCATTGTTCGAATTTTCGAACAAACCCCTCAAATCTAAGAAAGTCCCAAAATCACTAAAAATGATGGTTCTTTGTTTAATTTCGTTGATTTTGAGTGAGTTTCGTGAAAACCCAGTCTTAAGAGAAGAAATTAGTACTGATCTTGTCGTGAAAGATGACCGTGACAGGCGATGATTGGTTGTCGACAGTTGTCGAAAAATTATCGTGCCAAAAACTAATATGATTAAAAATTTAGTGACAAAATCGGTGCATCTCTAAAGTTTAGTGCCTAAAATGACATCGTTAGACCTAAATAGTCGCACTAAAATAATATTGTTTAGTCCATATCATTACATCGTTTGAATTTTAATGGTATAATGATATAATTGAAGTCAAAATTAAAATTTAGTACTCTAATTAAAAAAATTAAAGTTTAATATCTAAAATTTAAATAGTATATAATTTAATCTACCCATAAATATAGTAAATTTCTTATAATTTTAGGACTCATGGCATTCAGAAAAAGGACCGGCAATATCAAAGTCAAAAATGGTTGGGGTGGAATTAAATTCGTCGTCCTTTATCTTTATTTAAAAATTTATATATTTTTCCTAAGAAAATACATATTTGTATCTTCTTTAATTGATATCTCGTGAAAACCGAGTTCTAAAATATGTTTAAATTTAATTGTATCATCCAATTTTTAAATAGTTTAGATATAAAAAAAATATAATTTTTAGTACGTTTAGATAATTTTATATATTAATATATTGTCATAAATTGATTTTTTAGTAATCAGTAAATTTTAAAATTTTAGTAGAGTTTCTCAACTTTACATGATATATATATATATATATATATATATATATATATATATATATATATATATATATATATATATATATGCATATATCGTATATAGTTATAAAATTCGTTTAAATTGAAATCAATTGATATCATAACATTATAAATATTTATGATTAAATTTTAACATAAACTCGAACAATTTGATTAACTTAAGACTCATCAATTCGATTAACTTAAAAATATTTGACTTGACACGGCTCGATCGAATACCATCCATAGTGCGCATCATGTTTAATATAATCGTTGACATTGAATTTAAAATTAACAGTCTCCTTTGAAAGAATTTTATTTCTCCCTTGGAAAAGTCATGAGGAGCTTGGAGAAGAAGGAACAGAAAAGTCAAAGTTGAAAACATGTATTAGAATTATATTAGACCCTCCTTTGAAATGGTCAGCAAAACACCCATACATAAATATGGTGATGCATCTCAATCCAAAGCAAGAATTTCTGGGTTTTACCTATTTCCTCACAACCTATTCATCAACACAGATTCTGCAAATTTTTTCAACAAGATCTTCCAAAAAAACAAAACCCACCATCAAAACCAATTTCCCATACATAATTTCACAAAAAAAAAGTCGACCCAAAGGAGAACGATGAAAAGTAAGAACCTTCTATCCACACTAGGCTCCATAGCAGCTGCATCAATGGTGATTCGGACCATTGTCAATGATTTCCTTCCTCCACAAGTCATGAACTACTTCTCCTGCAAGTTAGAGAATCTATCTCACCATTTCACTTCTCAGATAACAATTGTGATTGAAGAATTCAGAGGGCTTGCTGTCAACCAAGTGTTTGAAGCTGCTGATATCTACTTGGGAAGCAAAACTGCAGCCCCATCTATCCAGAGAGTTAAGGTGGGAAAATCTGAGAAGGATAACAAGTTAGCTTTATCCATGGATCGAGGTGGGATTTTGGTTGATGTTTTCGAGAAAGTGGAGATGAAGTGGCAACTGGTTTGTTCACCAGTTGACTCAGTTCCTTCTCGGAATCAGAACAATGGTGGGGATCTTAATTCATCTCTAAGATCAGAAGTTAGACGATATGAGCTGAGTTTTCACAAGAGAAACAAAGATTTAGTGATCGATTCGTACTTGCCTTATGTTTTAGAAAGAGCAAAGTTGATGAGAGAAGAGAATAAGACGATAAATCTTCACACAGTTGTTTATGGAAGATGGGATGTGGAAGAGATCAAACTCAAACACCCAATGACATTCAACACACTGGCTATGGATTCCGAGCTCAAAAGGGCTGTAATGGTGGATCTTCAACACTTTACAAATGGGGAAGAATACTACAAAAGAGTATGCAAAGCTTGGAAACGTGGATATCTGCTGTACGGTTCTCCAGGGACAGGCAAATCAAGCTTGATAGCAGCGATGGCTAATTACTTGAAATATGACATCTATGACTTGGATCTCACCGACGTCCATACTAACTCGGATCTTCGATTTTTGTTGCTCACCATGCCAAGTCGATCCATACTCATCATCGAGGACATTGACTGCTCGATCAAGCTACAAAATCGAGAATTGGAGACGGAGTCCGATGGAAATCAAGGTGACAATCAAGTGACACTGTCTGGACTCTTGAATTTCATTGATGGACTTTGGTCATGCTGCAATGAAGAACGCATTATAATCTTCACTACGAACCATAAAGAACGGTTAGACCCGGCATTGGTGCGACCGGGTCGGATGGACATGCATATTTGTTTTGTATGGCTCATAAAAAGTCTCGTTGTGGGGTTACGAATTATGTGGGTTGGGGGTGTGGGGGCGCAGCCCCCGCGGTACGGTACAGGGTTGATTTTGTAATTATGTACCAGGGTTTTCTATTATAAATAGAGATGTAACCTAGACCTAAAATATCATTGCATAAAATTCTAGCGCCGCCTAGGTACCGAGGACGTAAGCACATTGCCGAACCTCGTAAAATTCTCGTGTTCTTTCGTTTTCTTTACCCGTTTTGTCAACAATTGGTATCAGATGTCAGGAGCAAAATTCGAAGTCGCGAAATTCGATGGTCAGGGTAACTTCGGATTATGGCAAACGAGGGTGAAGGATCTATTGGCGCAGCAAGGGATCTTGAAGGCTTTGCGACCTACAAAGCCGGCGTCGATGGATGAGGAAGATTAGGAAGAATTGCAGCAGCGAGCGGCAGGAACCATACGATTATGCTTGGCGGACGAGGTCATGTATCACGTCATGCATCTATCGTCTCCAGACGAAATTTGGAGGAAGTTGGAAAGTCAGTTTATGTCCAAATCCTTAACGACAAAACTGTATCTGAAGCAGCGGCTGTATGGGCTGAAGATGCAGGACGATCACGATTTGGCGCAACACGTGAATGTCTTCAATCAAATCGTTTCTGATCTGGCTCGGCTTGATGTGAAAATTGAGGATGAAGACAGAGCGATGATTCTGTTGTGTTCGTTGCCTTCCTCTTACGAACACATGGTGACTACTCTTACATATGGGAAAGAGACTATCAACGTTGAGGAGATTACTGCAGCCTTGTTGGCTCACAACCAGCAGAAGCAGAATACAGGGGAAAGCTCTCAAGCCGATAGCTTATATGTCAAGGGTAATCGAGATCGTGGACGGAAGCCAGAGAAGGCAGGGTCCGGGAAGCGGAATTCCAGATCCAAATCCAGGGATAAGAAGACGATTCACTGTTACAAGTGCAAGGAGGCGGGACATATGAAGCGAGACTGTCCGAAGTTGAAAAAGCAGACTGATGAGAAGCGTGATGGCTCAACCAAGTCTGTGAACGTGGTCGAGGATGATACTTCTGATTGCAGTGAGGGTGATATGCTTTCTATTTCAACGACACAATTGACGGATGCTTGGATTCTTGATTCTGGATGTTCTTATCACATCACGCCAAATAGGGAATGGTTTTCGACATACAGGCCGGTTAATTCTGGTTCGGTTTATTTGGGTGATGATCGATGTTGCAATATTGGTATTGGTGATGTCAGAATTAAGATGCACGATGGCTCCGTTCGGACGTTGAGTGGTGTTCGACATATCCCAGACTTGAAGAAGAATTTGATTTCCTTGGGCACTTTGCACAAGAATGGTTTTATCCCTAAGGCTGACGAGGATAGGGAAACCATTCGGATTGTTAAAGGAGCATTGACTGTGATGAAAGGCAAGATGACTGCAGGGAATATCTACAGATTGTTAGGGAGTACCGTTGCAGGTGGAGTTCACTCTGTTGAGTCCTGTGATGATACGACAAAATTGTGGCATATGCGCCTTGCTCATCTTAGTGAACGTGGTATGGCAGAATTACACAAGAGAAACTTGTTGCATGGTGTCAAAAGCTGTAAGCTCGATTTTTGCAGGTATTGTGTTATTGGTAAACAAACTAAAGTCCGTTTCAAGATTGCGAAGCACACAACTCAAGGGATTCTTGATTATGTGCATTCTGATGTATGGGGGCCTTCCACGACATCGTCTTTGGGTGGATCTAGGTACTATGTTACTTTTATTGATGATTTTTCACGGAAAGTTTGGGTGTATTTTTGAAACAGAAATCTGAAGTTTTTGAGAAGTTCAAGCTGTGGAAAGCTGAGGTAGAAAACCAAACAGGACGAAAAATCAAGTGTTTGCGGTCTGACAATGGTACGAAGTACACAGATTCACAGTTCCTACAATTCTGTAAGGAGCATGGGATTCAGAGGCATTTTACAGTGCGCAAGACACCACAACAGAATGGTGTTGCGGAACGAATGAACAGGTCGTTGAATGAAAGAGCCAGATGTTTGCGGTTGAATGCGGGGCTTCCCAAACACTTCTGGGCTGAGGCTGTTAACATGGCGTGTTACCTTATCAACAGATCGCCAAGGGCATCGCTGGCTGGGAAAGTTGCAGAAGAGGTATGGACTGGTCATGATGTTAGTTTTGATAACTTACGGATTTTTGGTTGTCCTGCTTATGTGCATGTACCTGCTGATGAGAGATCCAAACTTGATGCAAAATCGAAGGAGTGCATTTTTCTGGGTTACAATAAAGGTGTCAAAGGATTCAAGTTCTGGGATCCAGTTGCGAAGAAAGTTGTGATTAGTAGAGATGTCGTTTTTGATGAACAGTCTATGTTGCAGCAGAAGCAAGACACGACAGTGGTGGATTTCGATCAGTTTCCAGTTGAGAAACCAGAAACTTCTCAACCGAATTCTGGTGGTTCCACTACGGATGATTTGCAGGATTATAGTCTCGCCAGAGACAGGGTGAGACGGACGAATATAAAGCCTCCGAATAGATTGGGTTTTGAAGACTTGGTATCTTTTGCACTTACTGTTAGCAGTGATGATCCAGTTACTTTTCATGATGCCGTTACTAGTCAGGAAAACGACAAGTGGATGGCAGCCATGATTGAGGAGATGGAGTCTTTGAATCACAATCGCACATGGGAGTTAGTTCCCCTTCCTGAGGGTAAGAAGCAGATTGGTTGCAAATGGGTGTATAAGAAGAAACCAGCAGTAATAGAAAAAGGGGGGAGAAGTTCAAGGCTCGTTTGGTAGCGAAGGGTTTTTCACAGCAGAAAGGAATTGATTATGATGAAATCTTTTCTCCTGTGGTCAGGCACACTTCAATCCGAGCAGTACTTGCATTGGTGGCTAGTTGGGATTTGCATTTAGAGCAGATGGATGTTAAAACTGCTTTTTTGCATGGTGATTTAGAGGAGCATATCTACATGCGGCAACCTGAAGGTTTCACTCAACCTGGAAACGAGCATTTAGTTTGCAGATTGAAGAAATCTTTGTACGGGTTGAAACAGTCTCCGAGACAGTGGTATAAACGGTTTGACTCCTATATGATCAAGATTGGCTACAACCGATGTGAGTATGATTGTTGTGTCTATGTAAAGAGCCTTGATGATGGTTCTTTTATTTTTCTATTACTGTATGTTGATGAAATGTTGATTGCTGCGAAGAACATGGATGATGTTATCGGTTTGAAAACTTTATTGAGTCAGGAATTTGATATGAAAGATTTAGGTGCTGCAAAGAAAATTCTTGGAATGGAAATTTGCAGGGACAGAGACTCAAGGAAACTGCGGCTATCTCAACGGGGTTATGTTGAGAAAATGCTAGAAAGGTTTGCGATGAGCAGCGCGAAACCAGTTAGCACTCCATTGGCGAATCACTTTAAGCTCTCATCAGAACAGTGCCCTAAGACAGATAAGGAAGCTGAAGATATGGCAAAGGTTCCGTATTCTAATGCTGTTGGCTGCCTGATGTATGCGATGGTATGTACTCGTCCTGATTTAGCTCATGCTGTTAGTCAAGTTTGTAAGTACATGTCTAAACCTGGTAAGCAACATTGGGAAGCAGTCAAGTGGATCTTTCGGTACTTAAAGGGTACTGTGGGACATGGAATTGTTTTTGGGAGTCAGCGGGATAATCCTTTGGTTGTAGGATATGTGGATTCAGACTATGCAGGTGACTTGGATAATAGAAGATCTACGACAGGGTATGTCTTTACTCTTGGTGGAGGGCCTATTTGTTGGAAGTCTACTGTTCAATCTGTTGTGGCTCTATCTACAACTGAAGCTGAGTACATGGCAGCGGCTGAAGCTGCAAAAGAAGCTTTATGGCTTACTGGTTTAGTGAAGGAGTTGGGTGTTCAACAAGGTGGAGTTCAGTTGCTTTGTGATAATCAAAGTGCTATTCACTTGGCTAAGAATCAGGTGTATCGTGCTAGAACTAAACATATTGATGTAAGGTTCCACAAGATCAGAGAGTTGGTTGCATCTGGAGAGGTTTTGTTTCAGAAGGTACATACTGATGAGAATGCCGCTGATATGTTCACCAAGCCAGTTACGACAGACAAGTTCAAGCATTGCTTGGACTTGTTGAATGTTTCGAGTTGTTAAAGAAGCAAGGTAACCCAACCCACATTGAAGTTTCCAAGGGGCAGGATATTCGCCAAGGTGGAGATTTGTTATGTATGGCTCATAAAAAGTCTCGTTGTGGGGTTACGAATTATGTGGGTTGGGGGTGTGGGGGCGCAGCCCCCGCGGTATGGTACAGGGTTGATTTTGTAATTATGTACCAGGGTTTTCTATTATAAATAGAGATGTAACCTAGACCTAAAATATCATTGAATAAAATTCTAGCGCCGCCTAGGCACCGAGGACGTAAGCACATTGCCGAACCTCGTAAAATTCTCGTGTTCTTTCGTTTTCTTTACCCGTTTTCGTCAACAATATTCAAATGTCGTACTGCAATGCATCCATATTCAAGCAACTTGCCTTCAACTATTTCGGTATCGGCAACGATGGTGTTTTCGAGCAGATTGAGAGGATGTTAGAGGAGGTGAATGTCAGCCCTGCAGAAGTAGCTGGGGAGTTGATGAAGAAGAACTGGAATAGAGAGGCTGCCTTTCAAGGCTTACTCCAATTCCTACATGAAAAAAGTAATAAGAACAACAGTTAGTTCATTAATCATTGTCGCAAATTAATATTTAGAAATTTAAGTTGGCATTCATATTTACCGAAGGATTTACAAGTTTATGAACTACTTTCCAGAATGCTTGCTTGAATGTCATACTGATTATCAAAATTTTGACATAAGGACATCTAAAATGTGAGGAAGAGATACTCATCATACCAGCAATTGCTGAGTCGCCACAGTTTCCCTCCAATCAGTCAAATCGTGGGCGTTGGAGATCGGGGAGAAGAGGACGTGGTCGCTGCCGTGGTTGAAACAATTATCAGTACTCCTAAAAAACGTGACTATTGACGTTTATCGGTTCGTAATCTAGTTATATCTTACGAGTGTGTATCACTGTCGTAATGGTGATAGATTTTTATTCATGATACAACGATTGTACGTGTTGAAGACACGTGAATACGAACCAAATAGAATCAAGAGGACAACAATAACAACATATGTGTTGGGTGTTCACAGTTGCAAAAGTAGTATGTCAGTCGAGTTTTTCATCTTCTCCTCCACTTATGATTCCTTTTTTTTAGAAATTATTCTCGGTATTTGATTTTAAAAATATGATTTTCTTAGGGATCGAGGTTATTTTAAAGAGGAGTCAAACGTGGTCAGTATATCGTCTTACATAGCTAAGAGTGTCAAGTCAATTAATTTAACATGTCATGTCAGCGTTCCATTGTTCCGTTACCTCAATAATGATTAGTGACGGTCAAGGGAATTTTTTTTTATAACATAATAACATCATAAACCAAATCATTACTTTTAAAATTTCAATATTAAAAGAAAAAACCTACTTATATTTCAATGACCATTTAATGTAGTTTATTTATTTTTCTCTATTGTGAAAAAAAGATCTGTTTGTAAGTATTGTTAGCAAGTACTTTCATGAATTTAACACTTGATCTTTTAAGTACCGTAGTTGGGGATGGATTTTATTTTATAAAAAAAATAAAGAGATAAAATTATAAAAAATAAAGAGGTAAAATTTAAATTATTTTTATTTATTATTTATTTTATTAATTGTGTTTAATATAAAATCTGAAATTATTTTTATTTTATATTTTTTATATTGTTAATATATATGTGTCTACCTTAAAAAATATTTTTGATCTGCCATTAGATAATTGAAACCACTCCATTTTATCAATCACTAATTTTAAATATATATGTTTATTCTCTTTATATTATCCACGTTACATACACAAGAATATTATAAAATTATAATTTTATATAATTTTATTTATCATAAATTTATTTAATAATAATATATTTTATAAATAATGTTAATAAAGAGATTTCAGTAATAAAAGAGAGTATTGTTCTCTTTAGAAATATCAAATTCTAGTGATTGTATCCATAAAATATTTATGTAATATTAATAATTAATTTTTAAACATATTTTATTTTGTAATCATTTAAATTATTAAAAATAAAAAACTAACCAGGTTCTCTAAACTAGGTATAATCCTTTCACCATCTAAACTAGAGGTGACAATACTTAAACACATTATCATAACCCAAGGGTATAGTCCAATAACATATTAGGTCCACATCTTCATCATACTCAACGTCAGAACAATTTATATATCCAACAAAACAAGAGAGGTTTCCAATAATTTTTTATTTGATGTATAAATTAAACAATCTTAATAATTAAGGGATAATTATTATCTTTAAAGATTCTAAGTTTGACTATATTATTTATAAAGATATTTAAATATTCATTATTAAATAATTAATAATTTTTTGAATAAATATTATTTTATAATTACTTTTAACTAATAGAAAAACAATTTTCCCCTCGAGGATACCTTAGTTCACTAAACTTAGGTATGATTATAAAATAAAATAAAATTTAAGTACTAAAACGAAATAAAAATAATAGTTTAGGCATTAAATATTTTAGTTTACCTAAAAGAAATTAAAGTTTCAAAACTTGTCGGCAAAGTCTTTTCCATCCACCTCGGTCTATATATATAATATATGACCTTTCTATACTTTATTTCTTCTTCTTCCCTTGTTTTCTTTTGCTTTCTTTTCAACCAAACAAATAAGCGTCGCGTGATTTTCCTCGTTATTTCACTTAATAATAGTTAATTATTTCGATTCTCCACAAAGGGAAAAATAAAAACCACCGATCATCTTTTAGAAAAACAAAACGTAAAGCGTAGAATTTCCTTTCTGTATAATCGAAGAGAATCGGCCGCGTGAGTTTAATTCATTCTGGAAATTCGGTATTTTAGAAAAATCCCTGAGGAATTTTCTCGGCTGACATTTCTATTGCGATTGGGAGCTCTTCGTTGAGGTAAGAATTTAAAATTTTCATAGGTTTTATCATTCCGTTGCATTAATTTCCTCGAAAGTTTAACCTGAAAATGTTTTATAAGTCGTTAGAATTAAAGATTTTGTTTTGTTTCATTTTATTTTTTTAAATCTCTCAGTTAATTAACGTTGAATACTTTTTTTATAAAAAAATGATGTGTAAAAGAAAGAAAACTTGTTAAAATATTTGGATTGCCCATACCAGAAGCAACCCCCCAAAATTAAATTACGTATGTTAAAAATAGTTTAAATCATGGGTTTTGTTGATATTTGTAATTCGCTTATTCTTTTTTCGTGTAATAATACACGATAAAGTTCGTATTAAGGGCGATAATTTCATTGGGAAGATGTCAAAAATGTTTAGCTGGAAGAGTTTCAAGTCCGGTTGGTTTTGGTTAAGATGGCTAAACTTTTTCTTAAACCTGAGCCTCGGTAGCATTCTCTGAATCCAACTAACCGTTAGTTATTCACTGAATAGCAATTAGTTGAATGTTAGATATGTTTGCCATTGCTAATTTAGTGGTGGAAGAAGGTAGTGCTGTTTTAGTGAGTTTGTCTGTGTTCTACGAACGGTCAATGGCCTAGGACAGAAAAAGAGAAAACAAAGGAATCTTAACAGTCTTGCAAATGAAGGTTACCTAGTACTTGTTTTGATATTGGTACTACTATTATTATAATAGTACTATCAAGTATCAACCAAATGATAGCCAATTGTAAAAATTGTGGTTTGCAGTAGTTAAAGATCATGTTCAATTGTAGAGTGTCTGGCATTTGTCCTGCACTGTCAAGAGCTAAAAGTGATGCACAAATGATTTACGTTGTCCAATTTATGTTGCAACATTACCGGTATTTATGTTCCAATTTATGTTGTAAGGAGATATTAATAACCACGTGTTTTACTCTGAGTTTCTTATCAAGAGATGGAAATGAACATGTGGAAGGGAAGTGTTTATGAAAGAACTTCGTCAGATATTTTGCATACTTGAGGGATTTGTTTCCAAACTTACTAGTTTTATTTTTTCACGATCCATAATTTATAACAAAAAATTAATCTGGAAGTTTTGTGACCGTTCTCTTTTGGTGTTGTCAGAATTTGATGGATACCAATAACTGGAGGTCTACTCCTCCCAGTGGAGAGCCCCCCATGGATCCAGGTGATTGGAGAGCCCAGTTGCATCCAGATTCACGACAAAGAATAGTCAACAAGATGTAAGTGAATTTTATGGTATTATTTTTGTCTAAATACTCTTGTATTTAACCTACTGAGATTTTGTGGCTTGTTTCGTAGTCTCTGTTAGTATTGTTATGAACCAAACATTACCATTAAGAACGGTTTATTTCCTTTTCCAAATCACTTTCTTTGTTTTGTAAAGACATGGCTTGAGAACCAAAGCTTGTTCTTAAGTCTTACCCAGAGCACAATATATGGGCAGCATATCTGGAACCTGATGCAGTTAAGCTGTTGTGCCCAACTTTATGTGGCATATTGGGATTCATCATTTAATGAATTTATGTGATTGAATAATAAATATATTTTCTTTTATATCTTTGGTTCCTTGTAAGCTTGGGACCTGTTATCTTATTCATGTGCACTATGAATTGGTGGTTTTATTTTGTTCTTACTGACTGAATTATGACTTTTCATTAAATAACTTGTTTATGTTAAGTAGCATTGCTTTCTACTTCGTTGTTTGAACAATGAAAATTATGGTTGTTGTCTATTTGAATATAGCTGATGTATGAAGGCCATGACAGTCACTTGTTTATATCGGTTTTTTTTATAAGAATTGAAGGCCTCATTAAAAACCCCATTCTTGATTAATGGAGCTTGTATGGAAGCTCCTTAATCAGCGGAAGGAGGAAAAGAGTGCCTTAGAACTTCATTAAAGAAAATAAGAATTACACCCTATAAAAAGATAAGCTAAATAACCATTACAAAAAGCAACAACCCCCTTCCGAACAATAACCAGAAAACAAACGAACAGTGCAAATGACATAAAAATCATCCTATACCAGCCTTTGCTAAAGCATCAGCATCCATATTAGCTGTCCTTGCAACCCATCTAACAACCCCCCCCAAAAATTCTAAGTTTAACAACTATATCTCTAACAATAGAAGCATACACAACTGGGCTTGAATCAACATTGTTAATCCAGTCTACTGCTACCCTACTATCACTCTCAACAAACAGCCGATCATTAACCATCCCTTGGAAAGAGGCCAAGAAAGAAAAACCCCTTTGAATAGCTTTAAGTTCCATCAATGTCGGAGGTCCCGAACCCGCAGACTCCTGAAAAGATCCTAAGATTGCACCTGAATGATCCCTTAAAATACCTCCAAGACCACTTTTCTTCCAATCACTGCTAGTGGCAGCATCCACATTTAATTTTATGAAGCCCATAGGAGGAGGTAACCAAGGGATAATAGAAGACTTCAGGAAATTGTAGGATGAATAAGAATCCCCTATTGAAGGATCAGAAATTAAAGAGTCCTTAGGAATAGAAATATCCTTATGCTTAGCTCCAATGTTGTGGCTTTTTGATATTTAAATGACCGTCCTGAAACGTTATAGAGGAAAACTTTTTGGTGCTTATATAATATCCTGGTTAGTGTTCATTTGATTGTGTTTTGTGATGAACCTGATAACTTGGTCCTTAGCATTCATTTATTTAGCATTTGAAGATTCTTACATGTACGTATTTTTGTGTCAATGACTTATGCAATGTCTTGTGTATGTAGAATGGATACATTGAAGAGGCACCTTCCATTTTCTGGTCAAGATGGTTTAAATGAACTCAGGAAAATTGCTGTAAGGTTTGAGGATAAGATTTTTGCAGCTGCAACCAGCCAGGTAATAATAGAAAGTGGCATTCTTTAACATGCTTGGATGCATTGTTGTTTTGGGTGTTCTCTATTTGAATATAAGTTGATTTTAACGTTATTGTCTGTGTTCAGACTGATTATCTAAGGAGAATATCTTTGAAGATGCTTACAATGGAGAACAAGTCTCAGAATGCTATACCCAACACAGGGAATAACAGCAAACCACCTGATCCAGGTAATATCAAGAATCTTCATTTTGCTTTATGTGAGTACAATTCTTTTCATGTACTCATCCTTTCTGTTCTTTTGCTGCTGAGTTGACCACTCTATACACCTCTGCATGTGCTAGGAATAATTTTTTATCTAGTTCTAAATGTTTTTCAATTCAGTTATTGTGGGTTCTTCTCCAACTTCTCCTTCTGAATATAAATATCTTGGATAGGTTCTCAAGGCATGCAGAACCAAGTTCACAATCAGGGGCAATCAGTTCCTATCTCGTTACAAAGTAATCAATCTCAAGCACAACTGTTATCCCAGAGTGTTCCAAATAACATGGCATCTGCTGGAGTTCAAAGTTCTGCTGGTTTACAATCTGGAATACCTACTGTATCTGGTCTAACCCAAAATCCTGTACCTAATGTTGTTGGCCAGAATTCGAACATGCAGAACATGTCTGGAATTTCACAGAACTCAGTGGGGCATGGGATGTCTTCCAATATTTTTGCTAATCAGCAGCGACAAATGCAAGGAAGGCAACAGGTGCTTCCGCAACAGCAACAACAGCAGCAGCATCTATACCATCAGCAGTTACAAAACCAACTTACGAAACAACAGATTCAACAGGGAAATCTCCAGCCCTCACTTATGCAGTCTCACATGCAGCAACAGCAGACCCTATTACCACCTACTCAGTTGCAATCTTCCCAGCAATCTGGTATACAAACCTCATCCATTATACAGCAGTCTTCCATGCAAGCAACTCCTGTTCCTGGTCTACAACACAACCAGCAATCTTCTCTACAACAGTCAACTCAGTCTATACTTCAGCAACATCAACAGTTTAGACAGCAGCAACAGGCACAACAGGCTGCCAGTTCTGGTATTCATCAACAAACACCAATGGCTCAGCAATCAATGATGCCTCAGCAGCAGCAGCAGCCTCCACAGCCACAACACCAGCAGCCACAAATGATGGGACACCAGACAAATGCTGCAAATACACAGCAAAATCTGTTAATTGGACAACAAAACAGCATTGCGGAAATGCAGCAGCAGAGGTTGCTAGGCCAGGCTAATAATCTTCCAAACCTACAGCAACAGCATCGGCAGCAGTTAATGGCTCAAAAAAATAACCTGTCAAATATCCATCAGCAACAGTTGGGTCCTCAGAGTAATAGTTCTGGATTACAGCAACAGCAACCACAATTAATTGGAAACCAGTCGGGTAACTCAAGCATGCAAACTAACCAGCAATCTTTACACATGCTATCCCACCCTAAAGTTCCACTCCAACAAACGCAGCAGAGTGCATCTAATTTGTTACCAACACAAGGGCAGGCATCCCAGCAGTCACAGCAGCAACAACAACTGATGTCGCAGATGCAATCACAGTCTAATTTGCAGCAACAATTGGGTTTGCAACAGCAACCGAATCAGTTACAACCAAATATGCAGCAAAGGATTCAAACATCAGGTCAAGTATCAAGCTCCTTGCTTCAATCACAAAATTTGACAGACCAGCAAAAGCAGTTGTATCAATCACAAAGAGCTGTTCAGGAGACATCATCAAGTATGTTTTTAATCTATGCCATTACATGCCCATGTTCTTTGCTTGGTTGCTTTCAGAGCTTGTGTTATTTAACTGATCTGTGCAACTTTTCCTGTGATGGTATCGTTTTGCATTGCATTTTTACCCAGAAAGTAATTCCATTCCAACTTAGGAGATTAAGAGAAACTCCTTATGAACTTGTGATATGTTATCTCATCAAAGAACTTTTTATTTAGTTGATTAGCCCTAGGATCAAATACTTTATATAAAAAATTAGTGGCAGCCTTTCATTCAGCTGATGATTGGCATTGCATGACTTTGTACGACACAAGAAACATTTGTTTGTCATCCATGTTACTCTTAAGGTTTTGAATGCTGTGATTGTGCTATTATATTACTCTTGATGCGTTCCTGCAGCTATTCTGCTATGGTTTTGTCAGCCCACAGGCAGCTTCTGGATTTTAATCTCTTCACCTGTTCAACAAATAATTGGTCCTCTCTTTTTTTTATTGACGATAATTGGTTTCTTTTGTTCAATGAGTTTTTGCATCAAACTAGAGGGTCTACGAACTTGCCAATGTCAGTTTTTTTGGAAAGATGCACAATGTAAAAGCAAGTTGGTTCATCCATGCATTAGATGGTCAAAAGAGTGTCAAGGCCTCAAAATTGTGTGGTCCTTGGATTGAGTCTCACGGCTTTTGTTGAGACATGAGATTCTGTTGTAGATTTGATTAAAATTTTATATGAACCTTGAATTCCTCGGTATAATTTGTGCAATAAGTTTCTTAATGCTTTTAGATTGACTCACCCTTATTAACTTAACATATTTCTCTTTCATTGAATAATAGGCTGGTAGCAGCATAACTTTCTTTTAGGTCGTCCTTCACATGTTACTTAAACTTATCAATCATTTGTAGGAACTGTTAAAATTTTCACAGTATATTTCATCATTCAATATTTACAAAAAGAAAACCTTTTTAAAGGTGAGATCCTAGAGCTTTACTCCTACTTAGCTGCTACTTGGTTGCTGTGTGGCAAACTGTACAATATTTAAATTTCAAATTAAAGATAATATCTAATCCTAACTAACTAGAAGCTATCTACAGATAACAAACCAAATCTGCCCAGACTTATCTACAACTCACATCATTTACACCTATTCCAACTGATCTCTTTTGTTCTTTTATCTGTCAACTCAAGAAACTAAAAAACGTAGCCTTGAAAATAAGAATGACTTTTGAACTGCTAGTTGTGTTTGTGTCATTATGGAAAGAAATTTCATATTAGCTGCTTTTGTAGAGAAGTAGATAGATGCCTTGGAGTACCCAAAAGAAAAAGGCACTGAAATGTGACTGTAGGAAGTGTGTTTTTAAATGAGTAACCCCATAAACTTGGATTTGCATGATTAGTTACAGGAACTAGCAATAAAAGCCTCTTGTTTGCTTGTCCAATATGTTTAATGGTTTCTTCAAATGCCTTTTAGTCATGGCTGGTCTGATGGAATTTTATGACATAGGAATTTGATTATTGATTGCAACCTACCCTTCTATGCTATGTCTACCTTAATTTGCTATGAGACTTGGTTGTTTTTTTTGCTCAATTGTACCTTTCTTCTATAAACTATCTATTTCAATGTTTTCCATCCTCCAAAATTTTTTGTTTTTCTCATGTGTGTAATGATCCTTTTTTTAGCATCTTTAGATTCCACAGCTCAAACAGGGCTTGCTAACGGTGGTGATTTGCAAGAAGAGGTATATCAGAAGGTAAAAGCTCTTGACTATTCTCCTATAGATAATATTGTACTTACAAGTTGGCTTTAATTAGGTTTTATCTGCAGGAAATTGGTTATAAAAAGGAATATTACAGTATATTGGGATGTGTCTGTTAACAGGAACTTAAAAAAGAAGAATTAGCAACTTAAAATAAATTTTGTTAAAGAAATTTAGGCATTTTATTAGTTTGTTATCAATAAGAAAATAAATGCATATTGTTCACTGCTCTACGAAAGATCTATTTAATTTTTTAACAGGGAAACATGACCAAGGATATCCTCTGCATGCTTGACTTCATATTAAGCCTTTATTGATTCCTTTGTTTCTTCTGTAATTTTAACGAAAATCACTGCCTGCTAGTCAGAAAACGGAAAAATCGTTTTGCTTTTTTGTATAAACAATGAAACTTGGATATTGAGTGGTTTAATTGTTTGTTAACCAGTCTGCCTGAATTAACGTTACAGATCCAGACATTGAAGGAGACATACTTGCCTGAATTAAATGAGATGTACCAGAAAATTGCTACCAAGTTGCAGCAGGTAGGTTTATTCATTGCATAATCTTATATATGCATTCTTTAACATCTCAAGAGTGATAGAGCCCTTCTGCACCTTACTCTGCTGCTGTATCTATTAACAAAATTGAGAGAACCTGTTACTACTCTACGTTAAAGCTTTTGATCCCGCCCCCACTTTTGTGTTGCTCCTTGAATCCTATTCCTTTAGACAGTGTTTAGTGGTCTCACTTATGCTTATCTGGTGGAATAGTGGTTTGCAATTTTACTTGGGCTGCTTAAAACAATTTTGTGTCCTATTGTCCAGCATGATTCTAATCCACAGCAGCCAAAGTCTGAGCAGCTTGAGAAGTTTAAACTATTCAAGGCCATGTTGGAGCGCATTTTAGCTTTCTTATCTGTTCCCAAAGCGAGTATAACAGCCCCTTTCAAGGAGAAGTTGAGTTCGTATGAGAATCAGATAATAAATTTTGTGAATTCCAATAGGCCAAGGAAGCCTGTCTCGATGCTGCAGCAAGGACAGTTTCCTCCACCTCATATGCATTCCATGCAACAAGCACAAACACAAATGAATCAGACACAGTCTCATGATAATCAAATGAACCCTCAGTTGCAGTCGATAAATTTACAAGGTTCTGTGCCAGCAATGCAGCCTAACAACATGACAAGCATGCAGCATAATTCTTTGTCACCTGGGGTTTCGACAGCACAGCAGACCAAGTTAAATTCATTACAGCCAGGTTCCAATATGGATTCAGGACAAGGTAATACCCTTGTCTCAATGCAGCAGGTTGCTTCAGGACCATTACAACAGAATCCTGTGAGTACTTCCCAGCAGGCAAATTTTAACAGCTTGTCATCACAAAGTGGGGCAGGTGTCCTGCCGCATAACATTAATCCTCTTCAGTCAAGTTCCAGCATGCTTCAGCACCAGCATATGAAACAACATCAAGGACAGCAAATGCTACAGTCACAAAAGTACAAGCAACAGTTTCAACAACGCCAAATGCAGCACCAATATATACAACAGAAGCAGCAGCTACTGCAACAACAACAGCAGCTGCAGCAGCCGCAGCAGCAAGCAAAGCAACAACTGTCCACTCAAATGCAGACACACCAGATGCCCCAGCTGCATCAGATGAGTGATGCGAATGATATGAGGCAGGGGATGGGTTCTAAGTCTGGGGTATTCCAACATCTTCCGGCAGGCCAGCGGCAATCTTATACCCATCAGCAGTTGAAACCAGGTGCTCAATTTCCCGTTTCTTCACCGCAGCTACTTCAGGCTGCATCTCCTCAGATGCCTCAGCATTCTTCCCCACAGGTTGATCAGCAAAACCTGATAACATCCATCTCAAAATCTGGAACTCCCTTGCAATCTGCAAATTCACCTTTTGTTGTTCCTTCACCTTCAACTCCGTTGGCTCCATCACCTATGCCTGGGGAATCCGAAAAACCTGTTCAGGGAACTTCTCTCACAAATGTTGCTACTATCGGAAATCAACAAGGAACTGGTGTTCATGCAGGCTCCCAATCCCTTGCAATCGGCACTCCAGGCATATCAGCCTCACCTCTGCTTGCTGAGTTTACTGGTGCAGATGGAACTCATGCTAATGCTTTGACAGCTGTTTCCAGCAAGTCAAGCAATACGGAGCAACCTCTTGAACGTTTAATGAAAGCAGTTAGTGAAGCTCTATTATTGTCACTTCTTCCCTTTCTTTCATGGTTAAGGCTGTAGAAGTTCTTTCTCCTTTTCTTCTTTCAAAATCATATTGGGTTAATTTGATTTTTAATGCATTTCATTTGTAGGTGAAATCCATTTCACCTGTAGCATTGGGTGCAGCTGTAAGTGACATTGGCTCAGTTATCAGCATGACTGACAGGATAGCAGGTTCAGCCCCAGGTAATGGGTCCAGGGCTGCAGTAGGTGAGGATCTGGTTGCCATGACAAAGTGTCGTCTGCAAGCAAGAAATTTCATCAGTCAAGACGGAATGAGTGGGTCAAAGAAAATTAGGCGTCACACTAGTGCCATGCCCCTAAATGTTGTATCATCTGCTGGCAGTTTGAATGATAGTTTCAAACGGCTAACTGGTTCGACATCTGACTTAGAGTCAACTGCTACGTCTAGTGTCAAGCGGCCAAGAATTGAGGTATTATTCCTTGTCCACGGTGCACTTTTTAAAAATGTATTCAAAAATGCATTCTGCTATGCTTTTTAGGAAGCCTATTCCAGCACTTCATATATATGGCTGAATTTCTATGTACTGTACTGCTTCTAATGTCGAATTTAATGTTCATCACTCCATTTTGGAATGTTTTGAAGTTATGTATGTTCTCATTTCTTTTTAAACACCTAAGCATCTTACCTTGTCTCTATTTTCTTATCTATTATTTTGGTACTGTTACAGATTTACAGGCTAAATATTAGGGTTGATATATATTGTATTTAACGTATGATATTACCCTGTAGGATATTACTTTACATATTATAGGACTTTGATACTCGTATTTATACCCATAATGTTGATGAATAAAATACAAGTATTCTTTTCCTAATATTTTACAGGTACCTTTGGCATTAGAAGCCATTAAACATCAATTTGATAAAAATCTTGAAATTTATCTTAAATAACCTTAAAGTCAGAACTTTGTAAATTTGCTGTCAAAAGCAAGCAGTAACTTTAAAGAAAGAGGGTGTCACTTTTCTGTTGCTGACATACAAATTTTTGCAAAGTTTTTGCATCACGTCAATCTTTTGTTTACTTATCTATTTAATGTGACATTATCTTTTTTTTTCTGAAGCAGTTATTCTCGAGTATTTGTCTGTTTCAACTTTCATGCTGCTGGTTAACTACTATGTTATCCATTTAATTTCCAGTTCTGATGGTTTCATACTTGCCACTGTAGACAAGTTCTATTTACCATGTCTAGTATTAGTACCCCTTTAATTACACTCGTGACTTGGGAATCACAGTTGTATCCAACCTTGAGAGATAATATCTCGAGGAAAACCATTATCAACTCTTAGGTGAGAATCAGGAAACGGTGCAGTTGCAGGTCTTGAAAAGCGCAGACATTAATTCTATTCCTAAGGAATAGGTTTTTTCAAGCTGAACACATATGGAGTTTATGGAGTTTCTCTTTGAAGCTATAAAAAAGATTTAAGACTTTAACAGAAGTTTTAGCAAAATCAATTTGCATTTATGAATCAATTTGTCATAGTTGTCTCTACTTAGTTACATACTTGCATTTATGTTTGTGACTAAGGTAAAGATTAAAGATGACAAGAATATTGGCGAAGAAAAAATTGTGTACCTTTTCAGCACATGCATCATTGTTAATATTTGTTCCGAATCATATGGTTCTTGCTAGGTATTTTTTCTCTCGTGAAATGCATATAATCCTGTATGAGCATACTGTCATTTAGTCAAGGAAATCAGTAATGAAAATATTAGTTATAGATACTTCCAGATCATGTCTAATTTTTCGGTTGAATTTCATGCTCCATTTTGACCTTATAGCTTTATATAATGCCTGATGTGATTGGAAATTTAACCTGAGGTTTTTACCTGAAGTCCTCCAAATTCTAGAGTTATATTGTTCAGTGGTGCACTGAATGTAGGCAGATAAAATTTTCCGACTGCCATTATATTTTCTGATGTTCAATCACTTTGTGTCAATGAGAACAGACATTTTGGTTTTTCACATTTCAACTTCTGCGTAGCATTGGTAGAGGCAATTTAATGCTTGCAAGATAAATTTTATACCTAACTTGGTGTTGTCTAAGATAGCTGCACTTTGCTTCATATGTTAAGATATAAAAGATGATATGGAAGCCATTGCAGGCTAATCACTCCCTTTTGGAAGAAATAAGGGAAATAAACGGAAGACTTATAGACACAGTGGTTGATATCAGTGATGAAGATGTTTATCCTGCTGCAGCAGCTTCAACTGCAGAAGGGGGTGAAGGAACCATTGTCAAGTGCTCTTTCAGTGCTGTGGCTCTCAGTTCAAACTTGAAATCACAGTACATGTCAGTACAAATGGTAAGCTTTCAACTCATAGAAAGAAACTGATGTCATAACCTGAAAGTATTATATGATTTTCTTGGCATTATATCTGCTTTGTTGCTATGCAGTCACCAATTCAGCCCTTGCATTTGCTAGTCCCCACAAATTATCCAAATTGTTCTCCGATCGTATTAGACAAGTTTCCGGTTGGAGTCAGGTGAGGAAACATTTTTCTTTGAAGCCCAATCGTTCTCTTCTTCCCCATCTTTAAATAGGCTGGTATTCTGTTTAGAAACTGTTCAATTTCTTTTTGGGAAACTATCATGCATCATGGTTTTGTTTCAACTGTTTGCTTATATTTATTTTATTCGAGTACAGTTCCAAAAGTAAAAACTGCGAGGTGATAACATTTTCATCAAGGACGAAAGAATCTTGTGCAAAGATTTAACTATTGTTAATCATATATAAACTTCAACTAAGTTTAGGTTTTTCAATATCCAGAGGAAAACTTTGTAAGCAGTTATTAGCATTTGGCATGCGTTATGTTTCGGCAAAAGTGCAAGTTGGTTTGAGTCTAGATATCTCTATTTGATATTTTTGCTAGAAAATAATTTTTGATGTCATATTCTGTCTCACAGTAAGGAGCATGAAGACCTTTCAGTGAAAGCAAAGTGTAGGTTTAGTATATCACTGCGTAGCCTTCCACAGCCCATGTCACTTAGTGACATAGCAAGGACTTGGGATGTTTGTGCCCGAGCGGTTATTTCCGATCATGCAAAACTGAGCGGCGGTGGCAGCTTTAGTTCAAAATACGGGAGTTGGGAGAATTGCTTGAGTGCTGCATAGCCATCTTTTCCGATACAGTCAAAAGCCTAAATCAGATTTGTTTGATGATGGATGTCAAGAACTTGCCTCAGCTGCTACGGAGGACTGAGTAAGCAGTTTTTGGATGCATATCTTTGTAACTAAAGGAAGCAGTCTCTATTGATAGTTGTAGATTCGAGACAACTCCCCGTGATGGTTCATAGCTACTGTCGGTAAGTAATTAGTGCTCACATTTCGGCCAACTTCGCTATAAATTCTGTTCGGAACCAGCCTTCACTATGTTATGTTTATCTATAGCAGTTTTTTGGATGGTTAAGTGGGGAAAGCATTTTTACTTTGTTGTCTTTGGTTAATAATAAGCAGAATTATTCATAACATTCTCGTTTTTGCACGTAGTACAAATCCCATTTTTACTGCTAAATTATGCACACCCTAAACCACTCGTCTCGGAGTTATATTATTCAGGGACGAACGTAAAATTTTATGTATGTTATGGGTGAACTTTTAAAGTTTTAGGAGGAGGCAAAAACAGATTTTTAATTTATTTATTATAAAATATAAAAAATATATATAAAATATATGTTCCGTTCATCCCTTTCGGTCTGTCATTATTTGTATCGAATCGAGTTGATTGTCTGTCTTTAATTGTATAATGTATTGAATGGAGTTGGTCAAGACATGATTGATAGAAGATGCTCTGTTCCCCTATAAAAGTGACATAGGAGCTTTAAATTTCTGTCACCTTTAAATGACACAAATGTTGATTACCACCATCAAATGTTGTTGAAGCGTACCAAATGAATAAGAAAAATTCACAACATTTAGACATACCACCTAACCAATTATATCAACCTATGGAAGTTTTTGTTTTTAATCACGACATGAACTTCAAAATCACCAAATTCGTGGCAAATATTTCAAGTCATTTGTGAGTCAACTTTTAGAGTTCGATCGCATCCAAGAAAACAGTCAACTTTTAGAGTTCGATCGCATCCAAGAAAACAATCTCAAATATCTAAAAAATCCAAAATTTATTTAGAAAACTCACAATTTTCTAAATCTTCAATTTTCTTAAGATTTTGACACTTTTTGTAACACCCTCAATCCGTACATGACCTAGATACGAATCCGATGTGTCACATTGACTTTTCAAAACGTTTACTTTTACAAAATCATTGAAAATTTAAACTTTCATTAAAATAATAGTGAAATAATTTACATAAGTACAATCAAAATAATTACAAAATCGATTAGAGGATATGTGATTTAAACTTTGATTACATGCCAACATAATTACTATAACAAAATGACATAATGTTTGAATCACTTATGGTCTGATCATCTTTAAAATAATGATGCCTTGATAGACCCTAACTCTGATCTTCCTATTTCTTGGTACCTACGTGTGAAACACTCACACGCTAAGTCATAGACTTAGTGAGGCATAATATAAAGATGCAATAGTAAATTCATGAAACATGTTGTAACACCCTCAACCCGTACTCGACCCGAATACGAGTCCGAGATGTCACATTGACTTTTTAAAATAATATTCTTACCAAATAACAGAATATTTGAACTTATTTTAAGAAAATACGATAATATACTATTAAATAATGTTTGTTATAAAATTTTGAGGCAAAAACGTATTTATGAACAGTACTATACGGTATAAACAGTACCGTGAACAGTATCGAATGCTAAAAATTTTCCATAATCAAATAGGGGTATTGATACCTTGCTACAGGGTACCGATACTTGCTATATTCCTACTACAGTACTGCTACAATACTGCTATAGTACTTCCGTAAAACATACATAAACTCTTAAAATTTAACCTTTCATCGCTATACAAAATTACCATTTACATATATACGTTTAAAGCATTAGAAAAGTTGATCAGAGCGTTCATAACTAACAACTTATTACATGCCAACACACTTTATACAACAAAATACATACTTTGTTGTTTATTTCTGATATGATCTTCTAGTAGTGGTGTTGTCTTTCCCACTTCTATTTCTGCTCTTCTTGTTTCTTAGTACCTACATGTAAATCACTTACACGCTAAGTCATAGACTTAGTGAGACATAATAAAATATGTAACAATGAATTCATGAAACATGCACTCTTACCATTCGATCGTGACATTATAACCTGCATGAATCCATTACACTACAATGTATATGATCATATCATGCACGTATGAAATTTATCTTCTTAAGAAAATTTCACTTATCTTTGGATTGCCCATGTACATTATTAAGAACATAAGATATGCGAGTACACTGAGGTTGTGCACATATGCTGTCACCACAGCTTGTATAAATTCCCACTAGGGGCACTGAATATTTATCCCGAAAGACCACTGTATATGTCCCGAAGGACCACTGTATATCCCTCGACTCTTGGCATGCCAATTATACATACATCTCTCATATTAAATAACAGGGCTAAATATGAATACATTTCTCATTTCATATCTTTTTCATCACTTTTCATATAAACACATATTTCACTTCGCATGTACACATATGATCATTCCCATTATTTCACATACCTGAATTGATTCTTTAACAATTGCATTATTTCATATAATATCATATTAAAGCATAAACGAATTATGCAAGAAAATCTAGTATGTGCACTCACCTTAGTCTTGATTACTTTGACTCGATTCTGATCCTTCGATTGTTCCGGAACATGATTACGTTCTATATCTACATAATAATACATTGATATTGATCAGTATACTAATAGCATGTCCTAACTTTCATTTCTTAAACTAAAGGAAAGGTAATTTCATTGCTTATTTAAAGTAGGTATCGATACCTGTTGAATGGGTACCGATACCACTGGCCCAGAGTTCACATTTTCAGAGTGAAAATTACTTCTTTTCAGCTCAATACTTCATATTTCCTCCCCTTTAATAATCCTAACATACATACACATGCTTAGCCTCACTAATATTCATTTATCCCATCTTTAACCTCAATATCCTCCTCTTTATGAAATTCAAGAATTATACTCAAATTTCAACATGTTATAAATTCAATTCTAGCACTTCTTATGTCTTAACTAGATTGATGACAAGTCAAATCCAACTTCCAAATTCATTTAAACCCTCTTATTCAAAATTTCACTTTGAAACTCATTCTCTTTAATATTCTATCATTCAAAACTCTTTGAGCTTCTAAGTCCCTTTTTCCTTCCATCATGTTTCCTAAAGCTTCATGAATCCAAACCATGTTTGAATTTGAAAGATTAACCAAAAGAAATCAAGCTTACCTTTAGCTTGGGTGCTTCACGTTTGGGAGAAGAAGATGAGAATTGTCTGGAAACTTTGTTTCCAAACATGCTCCACATGGGTATTATAATACCCATTAATTCTTATTTAATAATTTCCTTGTTCAAAGACTCATTTGCCCTTTTACTTCTTCTTCACTTATTAATTCATCATTCACCAAAATCTTTCAATTAATTCCTTCACTTTTTAATTTATTTAATATGATCATCGAATTTTAAAATCTTACACTTTAATCACTAACCCGGTGTTGAGGATGTTACACATGCAATCCTATAATTCCAACATGTAATCACAATCCTCATATATTTACTTAACCATAACATATATAATCATGCATTGCACAAATAACATATATATTCTACTTAAATCCTTAAACTTTTCAATTTATCTAATTTAGTCACTAAATTCTAAAATTTTACAATTTGGTCACTAACCCGGTATTTGGGATGTTACACTTTTTATTTTTTAAAATATAAGTTAAATATAATTATAATTACAAAATATAAATTTAAAAATCGGAGTCGTTTATTTTTTTTATTTTTAAAGTATTTTTTAGAAAAATAGAGAAAGCAATGATAATAGTGCATAAATTAAAAAAATACTACAATGATGAAACTAAAAATTGGAATAAAGTACATACGCTAATTAGATATTAAGCCTAAAAAGTACTACTCTTTTTCTTAAAAGAATAAAAGTTAGTAGCACAAATAAATTATTGGGTAAACTACAAATATAATACTTAATCTATTAGTTATATTCTGTTTTGGTATTCAAACTTTATTTATTTTCAAAATCATACTTAATATTTAGTTTGGGTTTCAATTTTATAGTTTACCCTGGAGGTATTGTGTTCAAGCGGCAATGTAGGATGTGTATGCGTTGTCAACAGTTAAAAATTTTTTTGCACAAATACTACCTTATAGTCACTCTATACTTGTAAAAAATCAACAGCTATTAGTATAATTTACTCTAAAAACCCAATATAAAAAAATACAGATTACATACAACATATTATTAATATGAAATAAGACAAAAAGGCTATAGAATTTTCTACTGTACATTTTAAGAAATAACTACAAAAGAAAAGGAAAAAAACATAGGAATAAGTAAAACAGCAACGTGGGATTCTGTAGCATAAGGGCAGACACACTGAAGAATCAACTACGACAAAATTCAGACGATGGAATCAATCATCAGATTCATTTTCGATGCAATAAATGATATTTCCAACCGTCCCTGCAACGCTAACTATTACAGCCAATATCAGCATCGACCACGACAGACATTTTTGTCCCATGCTCAACCTCAAACTCAAACCCTTGTCTTCTTCCCCTAACCTCAACGCTATCAGAGCTGGGAACGTAAACCCTAACGAAACCGCCGTCGTTGCACCCGTATACTTGAAAGCCGTCCATATGTTTGGTATCACGGTGGACCCTAAATATATAAGCACCAGCAACACGGCTGTCAATGCCGATGACCTCCTTTTACTCTCCACCAGGGGAGCTGATCCGTTAAACACCAAGTTATCCACGGTTTCACGTAATGAGAAATGGATGACGGGGAAGACGAGGACTAGATGGAGGACGTAGCCGACTCGAACGATGTAGTTCAACGCCGTGCTGTATCGAATCCCGAGGTTCTTGTCGAAGTTCGTTAGGATATCGGATTCGGTTTGCTGGCCGAAGAGGAGGTACCCCGATGTGGCGGTCGAGGCGTAGACCATGATGCAAATGGTAGTTGTGATCCTTACCACTTTGTTCATCTTTTGTGGCGATCGGCCTTCGAGCTCGTTGTATACCGGTTGGACGTTGAAGTGACAAACGTAAGCGTTCGATATGACCGGGATCACCACTAGTAGGTCCATGATTGTTTTTCGAGACTCGAAATCGAGGCTCATGTTCGGGGACTTGCTCTTGCCTTCGATCACCCTTGTGAAGGCGGCACCGAGGCAAATTATGACGAAAACAACAGCTAAAGCGACCGATGCAGCTGAAGTGGTGCTCAATGAATCGATTCTGTTTAAGGAACAGAGTGGTGCAAGGAAAAACACCATGATGACCAAGACCAATATCTTCCTATGGTCCCAAAAACCATAGCCTAACCACTGATCCAAAACTCCGTGATGATGGTGATGAACTGAACCCGACATAACATCGCCGATGATGATCAAATACACGACCAACACACCTGCATTGTTGATGATTATACAAATCTCAGACAAAACTCGAGCCGTTCTTCCCATTGCAACCTCCACAACTTCCCCATAAGACTTGGCCTTACATAGCACAGCATACTTAACCAACATTTCGGCACTGATTTCGGACAAAATCCCGATGACAATCATTAAAGCAAGCCCCAAAACGATGCCGAGAACCTTCATGGTGGCAGGCAAAGCCATCATTCCAGCACCGATGATGGTGGTAGTTAAGTTGAAAACAGCACCAGGAATGCCGGATTCTTTATGGGGTTTACTTAAAAGAAGGGTGTAATCATCGATATCAGCATCGAAATCATCGTCGTCGGTGTCACGAGGGATCATGAGCTCGTTTTCCCAGTTTCCATCATCGGGAAACAACCATCTCTGTTGGGATGCAAAATCATCGGCTTCATTCAGTGTTTGTAATTCTACATGTGAGCCGTTGGGTACAGGTGAATAATTGCTATCCATCATAAAACAAACAGATTACAAAACAAAACAAAAAAAATGTGATTAGAGGAAAATGAATGTGAAACCCAAAGTTTAGGAATAAATGGATTGCAAATGTGTGTTTGTGTTTCATAGTTTCAATGGAGGAGAAGGAAAGGTGAAAGCTTTACCGTGTTTGCCGTTTACAACGCAAGCTCTGTTTTGGTTTCTTATTAGGGAACTGATTATGGGCACATGAGAAAATCTAATCATATACACATACACGTACATGACCTTAATTTAGTTTAGAGAGAGAAAGCTAAGCACATGCACATGAAGGCTTTTTAACGTAGTTTTGGACACTGGCCAAGTATTAACAATGGCCCAAAACATTCAAACCTGCAAGAGGTAAACCAGTCAAAAAAAATGAATGGTTGTGTTAAGAACCACTAGATCGTTCAAGTCTGCATATTAAACGATTTAGTTCCTTATACGAACGCACAAGATGACTGCGGGAATAAATGGGTCATAATGATTATAAACTATTCATCGGTTTAGATGAGATATGCAATCAGTGGTTGAACAACGATTACCGGTATCATCTGTTAGGTATGACTCATAAATAGACCTGTAAAGAGGACATAGGATGGAGTAGAGTAAGCGAACATCATCTATCCTTATAAAAAAATTCTCGTAGTGGGGTTATGATTATGTGGGTTGGGGTGCGGCCCCGCGATATGGTACAAGATTATTTTTGTAAATATGTAACAGGGTTTATTTATTATAAAAGGATATGTAACCTACACCTATGAGACATTGAATGAAAAACTAGCGTCGCCTAAGACACCGAGGACGTAAGCACATTGCTGAACCTCGTTAAAATTATTGTGTTCTTTCCGTTTTCTTTACCCGATTATTCAACAATATCTTTTGTCTCCATTAAGAGATAAGAGGAAGGATGAATGAAGAAGAAAGTTACAATCTAGAGTATTTTCTCCTTTATGTTGATAATGATAGAGAATTTTTATAGTGACCTATAATGTAAGTACCAATCATATGTTATTATGACTGTCTAAATGATCAGTCGACAATTGATTTAGTTCTAGTAGTAGTGTAAGTGAGTATGTTAGAGATCATGTCAAAAGAACATGACTTATTATTGAAAGATATTATGTATTTGAGATTTATCTTTCAGAGATGTTCTTCTGAAATCTCTCTCGATACTTGAGGTGAAAAGTAAACCAAATATTATCCTTAATCCTCCAAAGATCATGAATAAAATTAATATAAAAAATTAAATCAATCGCTTTAAAATTGAGAGAAACAAAATCATTCATTTTTTTTAAGGATTAATTTAATTTGAAAACTTAGAACTTAAAGAAGGTTCTTATAGTGGTAAATTAAAATGATGTGTTAAAAATAAAACTAAAAAGTACGTTTATATTAAAATTAAATTATTGTTATATTCAATAATGTATATTAAAATTATATTATCTCATAACACTATTTCAATTGGAAAATTATTAAAATAATATTATTTTTGAAGTGTAACCTTATTTTAAGCGTGATAAATATAAGACATTACTTTGCACATATATATATATATATAAAATAATCTCAATGACCAAAAATGTCTTATAATATACGAATTTAATCAACTTTTTTTGGATTTGCCAAAATGACCAACAAATTCGCAACGCGATCTCAAATTTGCAACGCGAACTCTATGTTTGCAACCTAGTTTCCAATTTCGCAACGCGAATTTGTAAATCGCAACACATAAGTCAAATTCGCAACGCGGAATTTCAAATTCGTAACAGGTTTTAGTTTCGCAACACAAATGTTTTGGGTATATAACAACGCAGCAGCAACAACTCATAACCTAAATCCCTAAATCACAACTCATTCCATCTCCATCTATCACTCTCTCCGGCGACATCCGTTCCTATATCCAACGACATCCTTCCCCATCTCTAATTTTTTTTTACATAATTTTATTTCTATATAATTTTTCAATGATTTCTCTCCCAAATTATCAACAATCAACTTAATAAAGGTATGTTTTTCTCTAAGTTAGTGATATATCTAGTTTATAGCTCATTGTTTTGCAAATTAATTTACAATTTGTAGAATGAAATCATCTAATGTTGATCATGTTTGGATAGATTTGTGTTTTGGAGGGTCATGGGAGAATGTTTATGGTGTTTTACAATATGTACATTTACCCATGAATCTTCAACTAAAACTGTCATTAAAAAAGTTAACTTATGAAACTCTAATGTTACGTGTTGCAAAGAAATTGAATTTAGAGCCTCTAAGTGGATTTAGGCTATCTTGTCAGAGAAAATGTAAAGTTTATTTGTTAACCGACAATAAAGATGTTGAACGATTCATTGCTTACATTAGTATTTCGCATGAAGATGATGTTACATTGTATGTTGTTGAACCTAGAAGTAGTGAAGTTGGGTCACTAGCGGGTAGTAATCAACTAAGTTCTTCAACCCAAAATTTAATGGTTCCACCACAATTTCATCACCAAACAAATTTTGTTTCACCATATTTCCAATACCAAACACAATATCAAACACAATCTCAAACCCACAACCTTTTCCTAATCCAAATCTCAATCAACTTTCAGCACCAAATTCCAGTTTTCGTATTGACCAGTTAGACGATTATGAGCCAACAGAAAAAATTGTGAGTACTAGTCAGTATTCAAAATTTGATTTTGGTCATACCCGGACTTTGATCTTGGGGAATACTCGGATTTTGATGATGTGATGGAAGAAGAAACAAACCCTTCATGTAATGATTTTGATATTGGTCAATACCCGAATTTTGATGATGAAACAACCGCTACCGAGGAAGATGTTGTTGATGATAATGAGGAGGAAGTTACGACTGTGAATGAACATGTTGAACATCCATTGTGTAATTCATATAACCATGAAGAAGAAAAAGAAGAATAAGAAGTCCCCGAAGAAAGGAAAAAGAAGAAAATGCCACGGGAGTATAACTGGAATATGCCAGAATTACTTCAGATACCAGAAGAAGAGTTGGTAAAGATAGCAGTTGATTGTTACACAAAAGTTATTCGTATCAAGAAAGATGATTGTTTTGATACAAAGGAAGACTTGAAGATAGCTTTGTATACGAAATGTGTGGAAGATGACTATCAACTAAAAGTTAACAAATCAAGCAAAGATCGTTTCAAAACAAGGTGTATGATTGACAAAAACTGTACGTGGCGTATGATTGCAAAGAGGATAAAAGATTGCGAAATGTTTCAAGTTAGGAATTTTATTGATAAACATACATGTTCAAGAACCTAAGTTTTTCCTCACCATAGACAGACAAACAAAAAGGTGTTGGGTGGTTTTCTGGCTGAGTTAATGTTTTGAATGGAAGGGTATATCAGAGACATGAAATTATGACTGACATGAATGCTCGGCTCAAGATTAGTATCTCATATTCTCAAGCTTGGAGAGCCAAATGTTATGCCTTGGAATTGTTGAGATGGTCGCCAGAAGCATCATTTGCCCAACTGTCGGCTTATTGTCACAATTTAAAGCTGAAAAATCATGGGTCGGTAACTCATATCAAAACAGATAGAGATGGACGCTTTGAGTTGTTGTTTATCGCCATTGGTGTTGCGGTTAGTAAATAATTATAATTTTGTTGACTCATTTTTGTTAGTTGCATGCATTTCACATTTAAATGATTATATTTCTTGTGTAATGATTTTGTAGATTCGTTCGTTTATTACTTGCATGCGCCCAGTTATTATAGTTGACAGAGAACATTTAAAATGTCGATACCTTGGAGTAAACTTATTAGCTGTAGCCATGGATGCTAACAATGGGATACTGCCAATAGCTTACGGGGTTGGCAAATCTGAAACCTCTGATTCATGGACATGGTTTATGGGGCATCTTAGGGATTGCATAGGTCTTATTAGTAATCTGACAATCATATCTGATAGGGCAAACTCAATTGAAAACGTTGTTAGAAGGTGTTTCCCATATGCTTTTTATGGACTTTGTGGTGTTCATTTGTACAGAAATCTAAAATCAAGGTCTACTGGTATAAAAAATCACAAATGGACATACTGGAATGCTGTAAAAGCTTATCAGGAAGTGGATTTTAATAAGCATATAAATTGTTTAAGACGTGTTTTACCTCAATGTGCTCAAACACTAGAAGATGTTGGGTTTGAAAGATGGTCAAGAGTACATCAACTTGGAGCAAGATATGGTTTCATGACGTCTAATAGTGCAGAATCAATCAACGCTCTAAGCCGTCATTCCCGGAAATTACCCATTACTATGTTAATGGAGTTTTTTCGAGTCTCTATTCAACAGTGGTACTACAAGAAAAGAAACCATGCAGGTATTATTTCTTTAAATTCGTAACTTATCATATATTTTACTAAGTATTATTTATTTAAATTTACAGGAACATTGGAACGTCGTGTTACACCATAGACTGAAAAAAAGATAACAAAACATGTTGTGAAGTCAACGTCATGGAGAGTTGAACCATGTTCAAACACTTTGTTTGAAGTATTGGATAATAACTTAAATGGTCTTGTCGATCTAAATCCAAAGACTTGTAGTTGTAAGAAATGGAAAATATATGGTTATCCGTGTGGTCATGTTATAAAAGTTTCTCTTCATCTAAACCAAGATGATTCAAGCGCATACGTTATGGATTGCTACACTACAGAAGTATTTCGACAAACTTATACCGAGATTGTCTACCCATGTCCACATTCTTCTGAGTGGGACATACCAGATGACTTACAAACAATTTTGCCACTAGTCATGGACAGCAGGCTACCTGGCCGACCAAAAAATCATGATCGTATACCTTCTAAGGGTGAAGAGAAGAGGATATCGACATGTAGTCGGTGCAAGGAAATTGGTCATACAAGGTTGACCTGTGGATCACCAGTTCCATCACAATCATATTTTCCTCTACCAAAAAATGGATCATCATCAAAATCCAAAGCTCATGTGGTGCCAAGCAAAAGGAAATCAAAATCGCAATCAAAATCAAA